GATTATAGTAGAGTCACCTGGACCCAACTCCTCTCATGCAAAGGCAATGCCTTTTCTATTATCAAAGATTTTATTACAATGGTTTCAAATCAATTCCACACTTCAGTTCAAACTATAAGAATTGATAATGCCTTTGAACTGGGATCTGCCCATTCTCATGCTACCTATCTCACATCTCTTGAAATTTCTCACCAAACTTGTCAAATTGAGCTAAATTGAGAGAGATAATTGATCATTTCTACACATGCAATCATGAATTCTGATATTGATTCAATTGTCAACCAAGTACAGTAGAGTTACAAAGAAGAGGAAGAAGAAGACGAGAGAGAGAGAACTTGAGATTAGAATATTCTAGAATATCAATTCTATATCTCACTAACTGATTCTGTTATTCTAACATATTCTTATACACCGACCTTCTCCTCTCTTTTGTCTATTTGCGTATTGCCCCCTTTCACTTACTACTATCTCTTATTTAGTCCCTATTGTTGTAATACTCCCCCTCAAGCTAGTAAGTGGAAGACATCTTCTACTCCTAGCTTGGATAATAGAGACTGATGTTGTGCTGCACTCAAGCCTTTTGTCATCAGGTCTGCTAGTTGTATTTTTTTTAGGTATGTACTGAGTTGCGATTAGTCTATTCTTGAGCTTCTCCCTGACGAAGTGGCAATCTATTTCAATATATTTAGTCCGCTCGTGAAATATAAGATTTGCAGCTACTTGCATAGTTGCCTTGCTATCACAATGTAAGTTGGCTGGTACTTCCACTTTGTTTCCCAATTCCTCCAATAGTCCAACATCCAAATGACTTCTGCCACCATACTCTACTTCTGCCGAGCTTTTACTAATTGTTTGTTGCTTCTTGGACTTCTATGACAACAGAGAATTCCCAAGCTTCACAGCATACCCTGTCATAGATCTTCTTGTGTTGGGACATGCTGCCCAGTCTGAGTCACAGAAGGCTGTGAGTGTTGATTCATGTCCTCTTCTCAGTAGTATCCCCAATCCAGGTACTGATTTGATATATTTTACAACCCTCAGGGTTGTATCTAGGTAAGACTTCTTGGGTTGCTTCATGAATTGGCTCAACACCCGTACTGCAAAACAAATGTCTGGCCTTGTGATTATGAGGTAAATTAGCTTCCCAATAAGTCTTTGATAGGCTCCTACATCTTCAAGTTGAGGATCATCAGTTCTTCTAACATGACTGTCATAATCAAATGTTGTTAGTTTCTGATTCAACTCAATTGGAGTTGCTACTGGTTTGCAACCACTCATGCCTGCATTAGTGATTAACTCTAATGTATATTTTCTCTGATTCAGCAACACTCCTTTCTTTGATCTCATGACTTCATTTCTGAGAAAATATCTTAGTTCCCCTAGGTCTTTCACCTTAAAGGAATTATGCAGAGTGTCCTTTCTTTGTTCAATGAGGGACTGCTTACTTCCAGTTATTAAAAGATCATTAACATAACCAGGACTATCACAATGTCTTCTTCATGCCTCTTGGTAAACAAGGAATGATCATGGGCACTCTGAGTGTATCCAGCTTGTAGGAGTGCATTTGTGAGTTTGATGTTCCATTTCTTTGATGCCTGTTTCAATCCATAAAGGGATTTCAACAATCTACACACCTTGTACTCACACTGTTTGTGAAATCCCTGAGGAAGATCCATGTAAACCTCTTCAAATAAATTACCTTGTAGGAAGGTATTGTTAACATCCATTTGAAACAAGGGCCAATCTTTGGAGGCTGCAACACTAATCACAGTCCTCACAGTGACCATTTTGGCCACTGGAGAGAAAGTTTCATGATAATCTAATCCTTCTTGTTGTATATAACCCTTGGCAACCAACCTTGCCTTGAACTTGTCCACTTCTCCATTGGCCTTATGCTTGATTTTGTAGACCCATTTTGAACCAATGGGATGTTTCCCAGCAGGGAGGTTACTATCTCCCATGTATTATTTTCCTATAGAGCTTGAATCTCTTATTCCATTACAGTAACCCAATGCTGATCCTTAACAACATCCTTGAAGGATTTTGTTTCAGTCTGGGCTGAGAATACTCCCAGGTAGGACTGATATGCTGGTGACAGATGATGATATGCAAGGTGGGAAGATAATGGATGTTTGCAGCTACTTGATGGTCTGGTATGGATTATATAATCCTTGTGCCAAGCAGGAGGGGCTGAATTTCTTTGAGGTCTAGCAGATCTTGCAGGTTGAGCTAGTTGTGTCTCTGTGGCAGCAGAAGGTTCAGTTGGTTGAGACTCTGGTTCAGCTGGTTGAGTCTCTGGTTCAGCTGGGACATTTGTAGGTGAGACTGCAGGAATTGTTGGCTCAAGCACTTCACCAACAACTTCTATTTCCCCTTCAAACTGATGAACTTCTGGTTCAACATCACAAGGAGAGGGGCTCGGAGAAATTTTAAGGCTCTTGCCATTTCCAAAATGTGCATGTGCTTTCTTTTCGTTATGCCATTTTGTTGTGGAGTGTAAGCACAACTACTTTGATGTATAATACCAAGTGAAGCTAGCAGTTCATTGCACTTAGAATTGAAAAATTCTGAACTATTATCAGATCTCAAAACCTTCACAGTAGCAGCAAATTGATTCTTTATTATGGAAAGAAAATTCTACAACACAACTATCACTTCACATTTGGAATGTATCAGACAAACCCAAGTGTACCTACTAAAATCATCCACAATAGTGACAAAGTACTGCTTCCTATCATATGTGGGCACCTTATGGGGTCCCCATACATCCAGATGAATTAACTGGAAAATAGATGTTGATTTAGTAGTACTTATAGGAAATTATAATCTACATTGCTTTGCCAAGGGACATACATCACAATCACTAATTTCATTACTGCTAACTTTTTCTTTATAGTTGGAATGTGCTGAACAGTCCTTACAGCTGCATGTCCCAACCTCAGATGCCAAAGAGTATATTCTGTTCCCTTTTTCTTAACCACACCAGCTAACATTGACATTGCTGCCTGCTTATTCAGCAAGTACAAACCTTCTGATTCTTTACCAATCCCAGTACCTTCCCACCTTCCCACTGAAGAGTTCCTAAAACAGACAGAAATCAGGGTAGAAATTGACCCAACATCTGAGATCCTTAGTAAGCTTTGACACTGGTAGTAGATTGAACTTAAAATCAGGTACATGTAACACATTCTTTACCCACTGATATGCTAAAATTTCTGCATTTCCAGTATGTGCTATCTTTGCTCTTATTCCAGTTGGTAACTGCACTCCATTATTACTCTGACCTTCCATACTCTTAACATTACTTAGGACATCTTTATTGTGAGTAATGTGATGCGTAGTAATGTGATGCGTAGCACCTGAATCTATTATCCAATCTATCATTGAAGCACTGAAAAATAAGGAAATTATACCTGCCATGTTGGATGAGAATTGTCCAGCTGGTGGTTTGTTTAGTAGTCCTACTAGTGGATTGTATTGGTCCTTTGTCAGCACATGTCCTTAAAATTGATTCACAGTTGATCCCAGCTCTTCAATGCTTCTATAAGAACTGATAATGCCTTTGAACTGGGATCTGCCAATTCTCATGCTACCTATCTCACATTCCTTGGAATTTCTCATCAAACTTCTTGCCCTCACACTCGAAAACAGAATGGCATAGTAGAAAGGAAACACAAGCACCTATTAGAAACTGCTAGAGCTCTTCTATTTCAATCTAAGTTGCCTACCAAGTATAGGGGGAGTGTGTTCTTACTGCAACCTATCTAGTAAACAAATTTCCATCCACAGTTCTCTCTAACAAAACTCCCTATGAAGTCTTACTTGGTCATCCTCCTACTTATAGCCATCTCAAATCTTTTGGTTGTTTAGCCAATGCTACTGTTCCTCCTCCTTCTAGAGACAAGTTTAAATCCAGAGTCATCCCCTCTGTATTTCTAGGTTATTCTTTTGGCAAGAAAGCTTACAAATTGTTACACCTGGGAAACAAATCTGTCTTCTACTCTAGGGATGTGACTTTTGTTGAACACATCTTTCCCTCCACCTCTTCTCCTTCTGGTTTCTTCCCTTCTTCAAACACTCCCTTTTCTGATCATATTTCTTCCACTCTTGTACCTACTCCTTCCTCTTCTATTCCTTCTGATTCACCTTTCAATCTTGCTTCTTCAATATTAGCTCATTCTCCTGCTTTTGCTTCTCCTTCTCTTCCTGATTCACTTTTCATTCCTGTTCCTTCACCTCCTCCCTTGAGGAGATCTTCTAGACCTACTGTCACTCCTACTCACCTTAGGGACTATATTTGTTCTGCTGTCCCGCCTGCTCACTCATCTATTTCTTCTTCCTTCTCATCTTCACCTACATCCTTGTCTGAACCTGCCTTTTATCATCAGGCTGTTTCTAATCCTGCTTGGCAGGAAGTCATGATAAAAGAATTTCAGGCATTAGAGGCCAATCAGACTTGGGACATAGTCCCTTTACCTTCTGGTAAAAAGGTCATTCCTTGCAAATGGGTATATAAAATCAAGCAACACTCAGATGGTAGCATTGAAAGGTATAAAGCTAGGTTGGTCATAAGGGGGGACACTCAACAGGCTGGCATTGACTACTTTGAGACCTTTTCTCCTGTAGTCAAGTTCACTACTATTAAGTGTTTGCTTGCTTTGGCTGCCAAGCATTCTTGGAATATCTATAAACTTGATGTCAACAATGCATTTTTGCATGGGGATCTCTCTGAAGAGGTATATATGAAGATTCCTCTTGGTCTTACAGTCTCTCCCTTATCTTCTAATCCTCCACTTGTGTGTAAGCTGAAGAAGTCATTGTATGGCCTTAAATATGCATCCAGGCAATGGTTTGCCAAGTTATCTCTTGCTCTTATCTCTAGGGGTTACTCATCCAGCCTCAATGACTATTCCTTATTCACCAAATTCTCTGGCACTTCCACTGTCCTTATTGCTGTATAAGTGGATGACATTTTATTGGCTGGGAATGATGATTCTGAGATGACTTCTCTCAAAGCATTTTTGGATCAACAATTCAAGATCAAGGATTTGGGGACTGTGTATTATTTCCTAGGTCTTAAAGTGTCTCACCTGCCTCATGGTCTACTTGTCAATCAACACAAATACCTTAAAGAGCTTCTATCAGAATTTCATTGTTCTTCTGCTTCACCTGTGATGACACCCTTTGAATTGTCTATTAAGCTCACCTCCACTTCTGGGGATGTTTTGGTTGATCCTTCTCCATACAGAAGGCTCATAGGCAAGCTAATTATTTTGCAGTATACTAGGCCTGACATATCCTTCTCAGTTCAGCACCTCAGTCAGTTCCTTAATGCTCCCAGAACTGCTCACATGCATGCTGCTCTTCATGTCCTTAGATACTTGGTCAAAGACCCTGCCAGAGGCATTCTTTTTAACAGAAATAAGAATTTCTCACTTCAGGCATTCTCAGATTCTGTTTGGGCAGGCTGCCCATCTTCTAGAAAATCTATTAGTGGCTACTTTTTCCCTCTTGGGGGCATCCCTATTTGTTGGAAATCTAAGAAATAACCCACAGTCTCATTGTCATCTGCAGAGGCTGAGTACAGGGCTTTTGCGGAAGACTATGGCTGAAGCTTGGCTAGTGAGACTTTTTGTCTGACTTGGGTCTTACCATTTCTATCCCTATTCCTCTTCATTATGATAATAAATCTCCTACCAGCATTGCCAAGAACCCTGTATCTCATGAGAGGACCAAGCATATTAAGCTTGATTGTCATTTTGTTAGGGAAAAACTTTTTTGTGGCCTCATTTCTTTGCACTATATTCCTACTCAATCTCAACTTACTGACATTTTCACTAAATCACTCACTAGTATTCAACATCAACATCTTCTCTGCAAGCTGGGTGTTTTGTCACCCTCCAGCTTGGGGGGGGTGCTGGAATAGATGGCCCAAACAACTCAGGCCCAACATACACATGCCCAACCGACTAATACACTGATATCCTTGTACATAGCTTGTAAAATTATTGCATAGATAGNAGGCCCACCCGGCTGATACAAAAACACATGCCTTGTAAACTTATTGTATAGATAGCCATTTTTTATTACATAGCCATTACTTAATATTTGCTAAGTATAAATAGATAATTGTAACGACCCGACCGGTCGTTTTGAGTATAATAATCCCATTCCCCTATTTTTTGCTTAATTTATGCTTTATAGATGTTTTATGACTTACCGGATTAGTGGGTTCGGGGCCGGAAGGAATTCAGAGTGAAATGAGACACTTAGTCTCATAATTAAAAATTTAAGTGAGAAAAGTGAACCGGATATGGACCTATATGTAAACGACCTCAGATTTGAATTTTGATGATTCCAATAGCTCTGTATAGTGATTTTGGGCTTTGGAACGTGTCCGGAATATTATTTGGAGGTCCGTAGTGGAATTAGGCTTGAAATGCCGAAAGTTGAATTTTTGAGAAGTTTGACCGAGGGGTTGACTTTTTGATATCGGGGTCGAAATCTGATTCTGAAAATTTGAATAGCTCTGTTATGTCATTGTGTGCAAAATTTGAGGTCAATCGGACGTAAATTGGTAGGTTCCGGAGTCGTTTGTAGAAGCTAGAAATTTCAAAGTTCATTAGGCTTGAATTGGGGTGTAATTCATGGTTTTAGCGTTGTTTGAGGTGATTTGAGGGTTCGACTAACTCCGTATGATGGTTTAGGACTTGTTGGTATATTTAGTTGAGGCTCCGAGGGGCTCGGGTGAGTTTTGGATGGTTAACGAATCATTTTTGGCCTTGGTGAGATTGCTGATATCTCCTGTTGCGTTTTTCTGATTTTCTCTTTCGCATTCGCGAGTGGGCCCTCGCGTTCGTGAAGAGTGTTTTCTGAGTGTGAGGTTTTGTTCTTCGCATCCGCGAAGGGGAGGACGCGAATGCGAAGGTATGTATGTATGTGCATTGCGAACGCGTGAGAGGTGTCGCGTTCGCGAAAAGGAGTGAGGCTATTGGGGACCCCCGGGTCCTTGTTCTATGCGTTTGTAAGGTGACGGTCGCATTCGCAAAAAGGAGTGAGGCAATTGGGGACCCCAGGGTCCTTGTTCTATGTGTTCACGAGGTGGCGGTCGCGTTCGCGTTCGCGAAGGTCAGAGCTGGTAAAGCTTCGCGTTCGCGAAGCCGTGGTCGCGTTCGCGAAGGGTAAGATTTGCAAAGCTTCGCGTTCGCGAAGCCACAGTCGCATTCGCGAAGGGTTAAATTTGTGGGCAGTAGAGTTGTGCTTCGCGAACGCGAGGGACCTGTCGCGTTCGCAAAGAAGAGAGGTCTGGACAGAGAGTTTAAGTTCTGAAAATGGGACTTCGTCCCATTTTCAGTTTTTGACGAATTTGAGCTCGGGAAGAGGCGGTTTTCGGGAGTTTTTTAAGGAAAACAATGGGGTAGGTATTCTTAACTCAATATTTGTTAAATTACCCGAATCCATGGTTGTTTTTATCATTTAAATTGGTGAATTATGTTGGAAAAGTTTGAAAACCCTCTTAGTTTAAATTGAAGATTTGAGAGTCGAGTTGGGGTCGGATTTTGATAAAATTGGTATGGTTAGATTCGTGGTTGAATGGGCTTTCGGATTTTTTTAACTTTTGTCGAGTTCCGAAATATGGGCCCCACAGGTGATTTTTTTAAGCTAAAATTAGGATTTTTATGGGAAATTAGCATTTTCTTATGGAGTTAATTTCAATAAATTTTATTGACTGAAACGAATTATTTGTGACTAGATTCGAGGCATTCAGAGGCCGATTTGCGAGGCAAAGGCTTAGCAGGGTAAAGAATTTCAAGCTCTGAGGCAAGTAACAGTTTTAAATCTGGTCCTGAGGTTATGAAACCCCGGAAATTTTTGTCATATGATTATTTTGGAGGTGACGCACATGCTAGGTGATGGGTGTGTGGGCGTGCACCGAGGGAATTGTGACTTGGTCCGTCCCGTGAAACTGTAAAGTTGAATAATTTGTTGTTAGCTATATGCTCTCTATGTGTTGAAGAAATTTGACTACAAATCATGTTAGAAATCATGGTTAGGCTATGTGATAGTACTGTTGGGACCTACAGAGGGCACGTACTTATTGAATTAATTGCTAATTATTATATTGTGCTCAGTCATGAATTTACTTGCGTATCATACCTCAATCTTTCTTGATATTTGTCGATGCATTGTGTTATCTTTGTTTGGGCTGATCTTTGTGATTTCTGAGAGCCCGAGAGACTAGAAAGGTTGAGGACTGAGTAAGGCCGAGGGCCTGTCGGTGAGTTAAGGATATTATGGCACGTGAGTTGTCCGTGCAGGATATTATAGCACGTGAGTTATCCGTACATCACGTGAGTTGTCCGTGCAGATTATGACGCTTGGGTTGTAGGAGCCCCTCCGGAGTCTGTATACCCTCAGTGAGCGCGAGTACCTATTGAGTGTGAGTGCTGAGGGCTGAGAGCCGAGTGATGAGTTGAGTGACTGTTGCCTGGGAGGCTGTACTTGCTTTGTATTTGTTATTGCACTTGATTGCTATCTGTCATTGTACTGAAATTTTTGAAAGATTTTATATCCGGACTACATGAAATTGAACTGTATAAAAATTGATTTGACTTAAACTACCGGAATTGAAAGCATGTCTATTCTTTGCTGGAATTACTAAAAGTGAACTGTAACTGTGTAGCTCGTCATTATCTTCAGTTCCTTAGTTATTATTGTTACTTGCTGAGTTGGTTGTACTCATACTACAACCCTGCACTTCGTGTGCAGATCCAGGTATTCCCGGACATAGCGGGTGTTGATCATTTTGCACAGTTGATTTTCAGGAGATTCAGACGTAGCTACCGTGTTTTGCAGACCTTGTTTCTCTTTCCCTATCTCCTTGTTTACTGTATTTTGGTCTTAGACTATTATAGACCTTATGTTCCAGATTTGTACCCATATTAGATGCTCATGTACTCAGTGAAACCAGGTTTTGGGGAGTATTCGTGTCAATATTTATGAGATTTTGTATTGTATTAAATTATTGTATTTTCAAACTTAAGAGAAATTGTGGTTTATCGAGATTTTTGGCTAGCCTAGTATCGAGATAGGCGCCATCACGACAGGTTGGGATTTTCGGTCGTGACAAGCTGGTATCAGAGCCTAGGTTACATAGGTCTTACGAGTCATGAGCAGGTTTAGTAGAGTCTTGCGGATCGGTACGGAGACATCTGTACTTATCTTCGAGGGGCTGCGGAACCTTTGGGAAAATTTCACTTTCTTGTATTCTATCGTGCAAATTTGTTGATTCTGGAAACTAAATTTCTGCTATTCTATTCTCTCACAGATGGTGAGGACACGTACTACCCGATTAGACGGTCAGCCACCAGTGCCACCAGTTAGGGCCTCGAGAGGTCGAGGCCGGGGCCGAGGTAGAGGTCGAGGTGTAGCTTGTACCACAGTTGGACCAGCACATGTAGTACCACTAGTTGCTCCAGCTCAGGAGTAGATTCCGGATATAGCTGAGCCGACAGGATCAGCTTAGGCACCAGCTGTGCCCATTGAGATTCTAGGCCTTTAGGAGACTTTGGCCAAGATATTGGCAGCTTGCACTGGTCTTGCTCAGGTAGTTTCGGCTCAGGCCGCACCTACCGCTTCTCAGGACGGGGGAGGTACTCATACCCCCATTTCCCATACTCTAGACCAGGTAGTACAGGGACTTCAGACACCGGGGGCACTACCAGCCCAGCCGGTTGCAGCTGCTCAAGCCCCGATAGTTCCTATTATGGCAGATGATGAGCAGAGGAGACTTGAGAGATTTGAGAGGCTTCGACCTCCACCATTTAGCGGTACTGAGTCAGAGGATGCCCAGGGTTTTCTGGATAAGTGTCAGTGGATGCTTCGGACAACGGGTATTCTAGAGACCACTGGGGTCTCATTCACTACTTTTTAGTTTTCTTAGGCTGCCTTCATATGGTGAGAGTCTTACGAGAGGTGTAGGCCGGTCGGTAAAGCACCCCTTACCCGGCAGAAGTTCTCCGGTCTATTCCTGGAGAAGTTCGTGCCTCAGTCCTGCAGAGAGGAGCTCTGTAGGCTGTTTGAGCAGCTTTGTCAGGGTAATATGTCCGTGACACAATATGAGATGAGATTTTCAGAATTTGCCCATCATGCTATCTGGTTGATTCCCATAGACAGGGAAAGGATCAGGAGATTCATAGATGGCCTCACTTTTCAGCTCCAATTACTCATGACTAGAGAGAGAGTGTCCAATGCTACTTTCGATGAGGTTTTCGACATTGCTCGTTAGATTGAGATGGTTCGTAGCCAGGAGCAGGTTGAGAAGGAGGCTAAGAGGCCTCGTGGTTCCGGTGATTTCAACGGTGCTCCTTCAGGGGGTCAGTTTTACCGCGGTAGGGGCCGTTCTTACAGACACGCTCAGGCGGGTCGTCCAGCTCATCGTGGTGTATCAGCTAGCCACGGTTCTTACAGTGCTTACTCAGGCCAGTCTCCATTCAGTGCACTTCCAGTGCAGAGTTCTCACTGCCTCGTCTGCTCAGGCTTCTACAGGTAATTCTTCGAGTTATTAGGAGCAGCAGTTCCATCAGAGGAGGGGTTGTTTCGAGTGCAGAGAATTGGGTCATTTCAAGAGAGATTGTCCT